ACACCACGACACCTTCGCTTGGTACCGTTCCCAACGATACACCGTTAACGTCACCGGCAATTGTCGACACAAAACCCGATATTACGTCCGAACAGGTGAGCATGTTTTATTGCGTCTCATCAAGCTTTCAGCATTAGAGCAGTTTTGTTTTCTTCCATTAGTGGTCAAAGTTATCATTTATTGATATCCTCGACCAACAACAATTTATTTCACATCTCACATTCATAAGCCATCTCAAGATCATTCCGATTATCACTCCCATCAAAGTTGTGTGCCCTTTTCGTCGATTGTTGATCAGCAATTTTCTATTTGTGTTCTGGTCATCTCATTTTCGGTTACAGCTACAGTGACGAGAAATGCTACCTTTAGGAGTTGCAAATGAGTCAAGAAAAATGAGAAGTCCCAGTGACTTAACGAAGCGTTTTGAACGCTCATTGTCAGGAGTCCCCTATTTTGAGAGCTGCAGTTGTGGTATTAACTGATATGCTTCATCAGTCGTTCAATTGATAATGATGCTTCTCTTGCAATTTTGACGGGCCGCGAAGCAGTCTATCTCTTCACTTGCGATCACGTAATACTCTATTCTCGTGTGACATCGCAGAGGATACTTTTTACTTTCATTTCATTGATACTTTGATTATGATCCGTCGTTGAGCATGCACTTTAGATGTGAGCTTAGGTTCAAGCTGGGATATCATTTCAGTTAAAAGTNTGATTATGATCCGTCGTTGAGCATGCACTTTAGATGTGAGCTTAGGTTCAAGCTGGGGTATCATTGCAGTTAAAAGTGTTGACACATACCTAAAGGAATATTTGTGAATATTTCGAATATTTCGGAAGGAATATTTCCTCTATGAATATTTGCGTTTATCATAATCGTTATTATTATTGGTCTTATTATTAACGTCATTATGAATAGAGTAGACAGCTATTCATATTCACATTGTAAACAAGTAATCGGATGCATTTAAGCAGCAGCAGCATTAATGTGACGTGTGATGCAGCATAAATAAACAGTATATGGCATATGATAAACGTATGAATAAACAAAACTGCTAACATGCAGTTAGTTGTTCATCGTAATGTAAACAACGTTCACTTAATTACCACGAATTCAGACAAACGCTCAAATAAACAAATTCATAAACACAAACAAATTAGGTTTCATCTGAATGCACATTCTTGTGCGTGTTTGAGGATCGGTTAATCTTAGCCAAATAACATGATCAACTAATAAAAAACACATTCGACACATGCGCTCACTCTCATTTCGAGACAAAAATGTTGAGCATTTCAGAGAATGTCGCTCGAGGGATAGGGCTGCATCTGTCTATTGGATACCTCAGATTATCGCAAAACTCTCTAAAAATTCGTAAAAATCATTGAATAGCACTGTCATCCGCCTCTAACGATTGTTGTGTATCCTATAGACAGATGCGCCGCGCCCATTGCTGAATGGGGGAAGGGGGGGG